ATAGTAGCTTGTCCTCAGGTGTTGTTCCTGAAAATCTGAAACATGCAGTTGTCCAGCCTCTAATTAAGAAATCAAATTTGGATCCTGCTGTCCTAGCGAACTACAGACCAATTTCAAAATTGCCTTTCATCTCGAAAATTCTTGAGAAGGTAGTTTATAAGCAACTAATGTCTTATCTCATTGAACATAATATTTTAGAGATTTTCCAATCTGGTTTTAGATCACTTCATAGCACAGAGTCAGCTCTCTTAAAAGTTTTTAACGATATATTTTGGGCAACTGATTCTGGTGACTGTGTTGTTTTGGTGTTGTTGGATTTATCAGCTGCTTTTGACACAGTTGATCACAGGATTTTAATTGCTCGTCTGGAACAATATGTGGGCCTTGGTCAAACAGCTCTAGACTGGTTTAAGTCTTATTTGACAAAACGCACTTTTTGTGTCTGTCTTGATGGCAATAGATCATCCTCTGCTCCGCTATCATGTGGTGTTCCGCAGGGCTCAGTCTTGGGTCCTCTTTTGTTCTTACTGTATCTCCTTCCTCTTGGCTCTGTTTTTAGGAAATACGGGATTGCTTTTCATTGTTATGCTGATGACACACAGATTTATTTACCTTTAAAGAAAGCAGATTCCACTTCTCTTCGGTCTCTGTTTCTATGTTTGGAGGATTTGAAGGCATGGATGGCCCAAAATTTCTTGAAATTAAATGAAGACAAGACAGAGGTAGTGATTTTTGGCAGCTCGAATGAAGACTCTCTGCCTGTTGATTGCTCTTTGGCTCAGTATGTCAGGCCAGTTGTTACAAATTTAGGGGTCAAGATGGATGCTGGTCTTAGGATGGAGTCTCAAATTAAAACAGTTGTAAAGTCAGGCTTTTTTCATTTGAGGCAGCTGGCTAAAGTAAAACCAATTCTTCCCAGACAGCATTTTGAAACAGCAATCCATGCATTTGTGACCACACGGCTAGATTACTGCAATGCACTTTACATAGGTATTAGTGATTCATGTATTTCCCAGCTTCAGAGGGTTCAGAATGCAGCTGCACGACTTTTAACAGGTACACGGAAATTTGACAGTATTTCTCCTGTTTTGGCCTCTTTACATTGGTTGCCGGTGCATTACCGGATTCATTTTAAAATACTTTTATTTGTTTTTAAAGCTTTAAATGGCCATGCCCCTCCATACCTGTCTGAGCTGCTACATTCTTACACACCCTCTCGTTCACTCAGGTCAGCTGACCAGTTGTTTCTGAAGGTCCCGAAGACAAAGCGTAAGCTTAGAGGGGACCGAGCTTTTTCTGTGATAGCTCCCAGGCTCTGGAATGACCTTCCATTGAACATAAGACAGGCCTCTTCAATTGAGGTTTTTAAGTCCCTTCTTAAAACTCATCTTTTTTCTTTGGCCTTTTAGCACAATCTGAGATGTTTTACCTTGTTTTATTGTGTTTGTATTTTATTTTATTATTTTATTCCTGTTTTAAATTTTACCCTTCCATTTTATCATTGTATTGTATTATATAATTGTGTAAAGCACTTTGGTCCTGTTGGGTGCATAAAGTGCTCTATAAATAAAGTTGGTATGGTATGGTATGGTAATGTGGATATCCTAACTGGGCCTTCCTAAAAGCAGAGAAGAAACCCAAACAGGACTCCAGTCAGCCATCAGGTGAAAAGGAGGAACCCAGACCAGTGGTCATTCCATATGTTGAGGGAGTATCAGAGAAACTGAGACGTTTATTTTCTAAACATAACGTCCCAGTGGCTTTTAAACCCCAAAATACATTACGGCAAAAACTGGTTCATCCCAAAGATCCAGTCCCCCGGCATAAACAGAGCAATATTGTGTATGCTGTTCAGTGTCAGGAGGGCTGTGATCAGTCTTACATCGGGGAAACTAAACAGCCACTGGCCAAAAGGATGGACCAGCACAGAAGATCAACATCATCAGGCCAGGACTCTGCGGTCTACACTCATCTCCAGGCCAGCGGTCACTCTTTCAGGGATGAAGATGTTCACATCCTGGATAGAGAGGAACGATGGTTTGAGAGAGGAGTAAAGGAGGCCATCTTTGTGAAAAGAAACCGTCCATCATTAAACAGGGGTGGAGGCCTCCGGGTTCAACTGTCCCCCTCTTACAATGCTGTGATTGCTAGTATCACTCAGCCCTCTGTGAACAGTAAACAGCCATCAGTGTGCTAATGATCCATTGTTAGGCTGATGGTCCTTCTTGAGCATGTGATCAGCTGGTTTTGGTTGTCAGCAGCAAAACTGGTTGATCCACTCTGAGAAGGTGCTATTTAAGAGACTGAGCTGAATACAGCACCTCAGACTGAAGAAGTCTCTCGGATGAGAGACAAAACGTTTCTACATTTTTTTTTTGTTTTGCTTTGTTTTGTTTTTTTGAATGTCCAGAGGACCAGATTTAACTTTTTTAGATTTTTCAACCTGGATTATTGAGCATGCATCAGGATATCTTAAGGTCTTTGTTACTCTAATTCACAGATGAGGCCCCTCTGTTCCCATCAGGTGTGAAAACCGGCTAAGCTGCATTATATGTTTTTGAAAGTTGAAATCTGAGGCCTCCTCCAGCATCTCATACTCCTCTGTTAAGAGACAGTTTTTCAACAGCAGCCTGTTGCCACGGTCACAATATACGGTGGTCACAGAATATGGTGTAACACCTGCAGTGTTTCTGTGCGTCTCCTCCTGCTTCGGCAGAAAACGCGCACAGGTGGAGGAGATGGAGACACCTCTGTGTTACTCGCTCGCCAGTTAAGTGAGCTTAGTGTGGGCAGTTGTTGACCAGGGGGGTTGATCATAAACATATATTCATGTTAGGAGGAGAGAAGTGGAGCGCTACGTAGCATCTTAGCTTAGCAGTAACTGTGACGCTGCAGGTGTAAGAGACGCTGTGTGTTCAGGTGCATTAAAGTTGGAATATCTTTAAAACCCCACACCTTATTGTCCTCAAGCTTCATGAGAAACATCATTCAGATGAGTAGTGTTGAACACAAGTAAAAAAATGACTAGTGGTGATGTTTTTTTATTTCACAATAAAGACAAATAGTGCCGACCTGACGCTCTGTATTAAAACATATTAAACTTAAAATTACTTTAAAACCCACAGCTGAATTTACACAAACTTGGTGAGAAACATGTTTTAAATGTGTGGAATTAAAGGAAATCTAGGTGAAATGTTGCTTTTTTGTTCACTAGTGAACACCTTTTTTTTTTACACGCGTCCACATGCAAGCGCACACACACCTACACACATCATTGTATCCCCCCCACATTACGGATGCTTCTGACGCCCTTGTCTGAATGACTAGCGACCAGTGGCCCTCACCCCGATACTCGCTAAATGCTTCGAAAAACTGGTCATGACTCACATCAAAACAACCATCAACATCAACGAGGACCCTCATCAGTATGCATACCGTGAGAACCGATCAACAGAGGACGCCATCTCCTCTGTGGTCCACACTGCGCTCAACCACCTGGAGCAGAAAGACTCTTACATCCATATGCTCTTTGTGGACTTCACAGCTGCCTTCAACACCATGATCCCCAAACCCTGATGGACAAACTAGTAAGACTAAGCCCCTCCATTTACAACTGGGTACTAGGCTTCTTAACAAACAGACCACAGTTAGTGAGGATCCACAACTTCTCCTCCTCCACCATAACCCTCAGCACTGGCTCTCCTCAGGGCTGTGTGTCTCCTGTTCACTCTGCTCAGTATGACTGTGCACCTACTCATCCAGGCTGTCATATTGTAAAGTTTGCAGATGACACAGTGGTGGTGGGATGCATCACAAATAACGAAGAGTCCAGTTACAGGTGGAAAGCTGGTGCAGGAAGAACAACCTTCACATCAATGTGAATAAGACGATGGTCGTGGACTTCAGAAGGAGCAAACACACCTACACCCCCCCCCCCCCCCCCACACACACACACACACACACACACAAACATAGGAGGATCTGGGGCAGAAGTGGTCTCCAGCTACAAGTACTTGGGTGTACACATGAACAACAACCTCAGCTGGGGCAACAACACCACCAGCCTGATCAAGAAAGCTCATCAGAGACTCTACTTCCTCAGGCGGCTGACGAGCTGGTCTGGGAAGCTCAGTCCTCACCTCCTTCTACAGGTGTGCAGTGGAGAGCATCCTGTGCTTCAGCATCAACGTGTGGCATGGAGGCTGCACAGCTGCAGAAAGAAAAGCTTTGCAGAGAGTGGTGAAGGCTGCACAGAAGTCTGTTGGAGTCAGTCTCACCACCATCACAGACATCTACACCCCCAGATGCAGGAAGAGGGCCACCTGCATCCTGAAGGACATCACTCACCCAACACACACACTTTTTCCCCACTCCCCTCAGGAAGGAGGTTGAGGAGCATTAAGTGTAGAACCACTAGACTGAGGAACAGCTTCTACCCTGAGGCTGTTAGACTCATGAATCTCTAACCAAAATAATCACTGTGAAAAACCACATCATGTTGCTGCTGATCTGTTTCATGTTGCTGCTGATCTGTTTCATGTTGCTGCTGATCTGTTTCATGTTGCTGCTGATCTGTTTCATGTTGCTGTGTTCATGCGTGCTCAACTGCTCACACAGACTCGTGTTCGTTCTGCTGTTTGGCGTAATGTTTTTACTGTACAGTAAATTTAAAGAGAGACAGAGTCTGGTGCAGTTGTTGACAGCCTGCCAGTTGTTATGGAGCTAGTCTAAAAATATTCACACGTGGTACACCAAGATGCGTACTTGGATCTTATTGAACGCATCTTGTCTTGCACATTTGTGAATATTTTTTTAGACTAGTTTAGCTCCATAGTTAGTCCACTTTCTGGAAACCAGTGATTCCCGAGCTGTTTCGCTGCCGCCGAGGGGCATCATTGCATCACTTTCAATCCTCCCTCTGCCTCTGTTTTGGTGGAAGGTGGTGCTGTTGCGCGCACGCTGCGGATCGTGCGCAAACTTCAGCTCGGAGCTGCAGCGGGATGTTCTCTCCCCGGACTGTGGTTATGGATCCACGCAGGGAGTCGTGATCAGGGTCCTTCCGCAGGTTTGCCAGTGTTTGCAGTGACATTCTGCTGGAGGTTCTGGAGGATCGGGTCAGCTCTGGACCAGAAGAGAAGACACACGATCCGTTTGGGCTGTCCGCAGGAAACTGAAACTCTGCAGCTTTTAAAACTCCTGTCGTCTTTCTGTGCTTTCGCCTTTTTTAAGTTGTTTTTGCTGTGATGTGAGATGTGCACGGAGCAGCCATGATGCACGCTGGAAGTTTAGCCCTCTCCTTCTGAACTCCCACCAGTTTTTGTGCATTTCCCCCCACCATTCTCCAACTTGCAGGAGGCGATCAGAGCAAATGGCCAACGCGCGCAAACCGCGGCTGTGCGTCATCGCCAAACGGGAGAACGGGTATGGGTTCCACCTGCACGGAGAGAAGGGGAAAAGTGGACAGTTCATCCGCAAAGTGGAGCCCGCGTCCCCAGCGGAGGAGTCGGGGCTGCGCGCCGGGGACAGAGTGGTGGAGGTGAACGGAGTCAACGTGGAGAAGGAGACGCACCACCAGGCGAGTGGCTCCATTCATATTTATGATTTGGACTCGAGTTACAGCCCTGGGTTTCTGCAGGGGTGCATCAACAGGTCACACAGGTTGGCACGCTTCAGGAGGTTTTGTCTGAGCACTTTCATTAACAACAACCACTAAAACCAGCTTTATCTGTCTTACTGCATTTTGTGCAGACAGAGCTTAAAAAACCCAGATGCGTCCTCTTTAATAAAGACTTTGGCTGTTTGTCTGCTGATAAGAAGACCTTTCCAGATACGAGTCCCAGACTAACCAGCCTCTGCCTGTTCAGCCATGTGTCTGAGCCAAGAAGTGTCTGCAAATATCTGCTGCCACTGTAAATCAGGTTCAAACTGTCTCCAGTCCTGGCTCTGTGTGCAGCTGGGCTTCAACCAACTGGGGCTCTGAACACATTCTTTCCACTGTTCATTCCCTGTTCATCAACTTTAGTTTGACACATGACATGAGCTGTCATTTTCACTTCATCCTGTGCTTCTGGTGTTGGATGATGATGCTCGAGCACATCTAAACTGTTTCAAAACATCACAGTGTGAATGTTTTGTTATTTGCATGAGCGGATTCAGAATGACTTCTTTAATTCTCCCATTCACACATCGTATTCCAGGACTGACCTCAAACATTGTTCTGGTTTCACAAATACAGTGGCCCAGGAGGGTAAAAGGAGTTACAACATTAAATAAAACTTCCATTCATCCATTATCTTCATCTGCTTCTTCTTTGTTGGGTTGCAGGGGTTACTGTGCAAGAGGCAGGGGACAGATCAGAGGTTCATCTCAGGGACACATAGAGACAAACAACCAACAAAACCAAAAAGGCATCCAAACATGTAAAAGAGAACCTACTAAACAATAGTGGTTCCCAACCCTGGTCCCTGAGGAACACCATCCTGCTTGTTTTAGTTGTTTCCCTGCTTCAACACACCTGAATCAATGATTTAATGGCTTCATCAAGTTCTGCAGAAGCCTGTTAATCACCCATTCATTCAAATCAGGTGTGTCAAAGCAGGGAAACAACTAAAACATGCAGGATGGTGTTCCTCTCGGACCAGGGTTGGGAACCCCTGGGTTTATTATTGTAATTGGTGATTCTAATTTTTAGCTACATGAAACCCATTTTTTTTTTTTTTTTTTTTTTTTTAGATATATGTTGTTGGATGTGTTGCTTTTCATTATCTTTTTGTTATTGTTACTTTTGTAGATTTGTGATTGTATTTTGCCTAACGTGGTTGTGTTGTGAAGTTTCACTACCCAACAGAAGATTTTCAGTCATCTGTCAGTTCTAGACGAAGGAAAATCAACTCATGTTCACTTCAGGAAAATTGACTTGATTTCTTGACACTTTTTTATCTATTGTTGTTACGTTGAGGAAAATTCACCAATCAGATCACGTTTGACCGAAATTAGACAATTTACTGCTTGACCAACCAGGGATTTAAAATATATATATTTTTTTTAATCCAAAAGTTCAAACCCAGGAAAATGGTGGTTACTTTAAACTTTTTGTTTTTTTCCAGTTTTGGTCACTTTGTACCCAGACATTTGTGGGTATGAAAAATTAATCATTTTGTACCTGCAGTGACAGCTGACAATTTAAAGCAATCAATATTACTATAGGTGGCACAGCGGTGCAGTTGGTAGAGCTGTCTCCTCTCAGTGAGAAGGTTGCCGGATCAAATCCCGGCTGGGAGCCTTTCTGGGTGGAGTTTGCTTGTTCTCTCCGTGCATGCGTGGGTTTTCTCCGGGTACTCCGGTTTCCTCTCACAGACCAAAAACATGCATGTTAGACTGATTGGTAACTCTAAATTGTCCCTAGGTGTGAGTGACAGTGAATGGTTGATTGTCTCTGTGCTCCTGTGATGGACTGGAGACCAGTCCAGGGTGTCCCCCACATCTCACACTGCTGGATATGGGCACCAGTGACCTTAAAAGGAAGAAGTGGGTAAAGACGATGGATGGATATTACTATAATCTACTCATGTGGGTAGGATTTGGTTAAGAATAAGACAAAACCCACTGGGTAAGAGCAATGAAGTAAAAATAACTAGTTATTGATATAAAGAGAATTGATTATTCAAAGTGATGTTGAGTTAAAGTATGAAAGTTGTATCCCCTTAAACCAAACATTCAGAAAGTGCGATGATTTTCAGCTGTAATGATTGTTCAAAGCCAACATATGGGATGGATTTGTTGTATTTTTAACTTTTATTTTAATGTTTCTCCAAACAAAATGATGACGAGTCATTCTGTCTGCCTGTCAGGTGGTGCAGCGGATCAAGGCAGTGGACCATGAGACGCGGTTGCTGGTGGTTGATCAGGAGACGTACGACAGCCTGCGCAGCCTCCATCTCACAGCCACGGAGGACATGGCCATTCTCGGGACGGCAGTTGCTGCACCTTCACCCCCTGCTTCCCCGTCTCCGGTGCCGTCCTCGACCCCCGCCTCCCCCACCAAGAAGCGCCAGAACGGCTCTGTGTCCAAGCAGCCCTCCACGCAGAGCAGCCAGGTGCAGAAGCCCACTAGGAGGTCACCATCAAAGGCTGTGAAGAAGGTAGGATGGATGTAGAAGAAAAACACATTTCCTATAGGACTGCAGGCATGCAAGCCACAGATTCTGCTTGAACACGCCTCACACTTGTTGTCTGACTGCTGCGCCGCATCCGATTAAAGGAGTTGTGCAGGTTCTGCAACTTTTCACGCAAGTGTTTCATTGAATGTGTGAGCTAGACACATTCCAGATGCAAGAGGGAAAGAAGAAGGTGAAATGTCAGGAGGTGGAACCTGTTAGAAGTCATAATGCGGGGTGTTGTTCACAATGTAAAGAAATATGCTCGTGTTTCTCCCCACTTTACATTCAGTAATTACATAAAGACCTATAAGCGTTTGGCAGCTTGGTTTTCATTATGCTCAGGTGGCAATGTGTTACAGAGCACAGGTCCAATCAGATTTGGTTTCAGCTATCAGAGAGACGAGTCGACTTCTGCTTTCTGCATCTACACACGTGTTTTTGATTTTAGGTTTGCCCTGCTGACATGCAAGCAGCGCTCAGGCCCGATTTCTACATGAGGACTGACAGGTCCAATCAGCTCCATTTTAAATGTGCTGGGGTCATTGTTTAATGCTGGCTCTGTGTTCTGTGGGGAGCGTTTGGAGCGGCCACTGGAGCCAGGTTTGGGAATTGTGTTGCTTTTATTGTCCTAATGAATCCAATAGCTTTAAAAGATGAGGCTCTGACACAATGCACTGATTCAGCGTTCAATATCTTCTGCAGTCCTCTTTTATGCTCCTAGCTGAGGGGGTGGGTTTGGCTTTCATTTAAACGGGGGATAAAACAGTCTGGTCAGCAATGAAACTAAGAGAAACAACAAGAAGCTATGACCAGTACAGATATGCTAATTGGTTTTGTGGTTTATTTTTTTGATTTTGACAGTAGACCTTGGTTTTCCTCTTGCTAATCCAATGGAGCTCCAAATGTGCCGACAGCAGCACATTTGTCTCATATTTTATGTTTTAAGACGTAGCAGAATACGGGGGCTGAGACTCAGAGAAGTCAATGCTAAATCTGAAGATTAGTTGGAAGTGAGCTCCCACCACATACAGGAGGGGAAAACAAACGTTTGCCGTGTGTTTGGGAGAAAAAGAAGACTGTACTGGTACCACCCATTCAACCACTTAGCTGAACTGCACAAACTAGTGTTTCATGTTACCATGCTTCCATTTTCATTTCACAAGAAAAAGTTTCAATTGGGATGCAGTGGTCGTTGATTTCTGGATGTCAGTCAAACACTGTAAGAGCTAAGCCTTCAGGAGGAAGCAATATTGTAATAACCTTCAACACTTTGGAATTAAAAGCTTTATAGGGGTGCAGTGTACTTATATTTTGTACTTTCAGTTTCACAACAAAGGAACTCACATGAAGTGCTTTTTATCCTTTCTACACATTCAGGTACAACATCTGACTGATGGTTTCTGTTTCTTCTACAGCCACTAAAAACAACCTGAACATAGATGCTAAGCCAAGAGTAGACAGAGCAGCCATTAGGGACAACCCATCTGAATACATTACTTGAAAGAATACACCCATTTCTGTCCCAATATTACCCAGAAGGCACTGCGACTCACACAGCCGCTTGTGTTCCAGTACATGTAATTCAAATAACTTACTGTTACTGTAAAATTTCATCATATAATGAAACTGAAGAATTGTAATATAAAAATGATCAATGTAAACCTAAATGAAACATTTGACCATTATTTTTTAGAGCAATTACAATTTTACTGTGATTTAAAAAAAAAATTATAGGTTGCAATTGAATGCATTATAAATAATAATGTGGTAAAAAAGAAAAAAAACTCTTTGCAGGGCCTTCCTGACGGCTCAGAGTCTTGTGTTTTGGTCCTGCCCGTGCTACATAAATGTTGTGATTGGTTTATTTTCCTGTCAGTTACTGAACAAACTCATCCTGGAGAGACTTTGACAGAAATTATTGGGCCTTCTCTGAAGGTATAGAAGGCCTTCGGGGTTCCCCACTGCTGGATAGTGGCTTGTTTGTTTCCTAATGAACCTACAAGTAAAGTAAAATACAAAATAGATGCAAGATTCCTGTCAAAGATTATATTATTTTACTATATTATTATTATTATTATTATTATTATTATTATTGCATATGGAAATACAGAGAAGTACGTAATCAAAGCCCTTAATTAAAGGTTGACTGATAAGTGTTTTTGTATTTAGCCTATCTTTAAGAATCAGAGCAACTCATCCTTAAATGCTGAATTAGAGGAGGGTCCCTGAGATTGAGGATAAAGAGATTCAGGGCTTCAATTTTATTCATCTATAAAAGAAACATCAGTTCTTCTGAATTTAAAATACATCTGCAGACTGAAAATCCTAAAAATGTAAGCCAAATAAAACAAATGTTTTCCTTTTACTCTTCTCTCTTCGCAGCAACAGTCAAAGTAAGCAGGAACTTTTCTGCAACTGTGGTTACCTTCACATTTGTCCAATAAATAACCTCACTGGAGGTTTCGTGATTGTTTGTGCATGTGTTCTCCACACAAGAGGACTCTGCAGCTCTCCTCTGTTTTATGGTCACTCATCTCCAGGGTTGACTTTGTGCTGCGTTCCTCTGTGTTTACTTGCTTCTTGACTTGTCAAACAGCAGAGTTTCCAGATTATATGTGTATTTAGGATACGGCATGTGTGTGGTTTGCTCATTTTTATCCTCTATTTGGATCTTTATCATCGCTGTCACAGAAAAGGCCAGAAAATTGTGGAGATCTTGTTTTTTGTTTTTTCATAACCTAAAGTTAGGATTGCAGATTATTTTTGAAACCTCAGTCTTAACTTTTAGTGCTTTATACCTCACATCTGTTTAAAAGTGGTGTTTAAAAGCTTAGTGGTTATCACTGTTGCATCACAGGAATAAGGCCCTGGGTTCAATCACCAGTTTGGACCTGGGGTCTTTCTGGGTGGAGTTTGCATGTTCTCCTCATGCTTGTGTGCGCGTTCTTTCAGTTTCCTCCCACAGTCCAAAAACATGCATGCTTAGGCTTCCTTAAGGCCCAGGCCTCCCTCGCAAAAGAGATTTGGGACCTCATTAGGGTTCGTCTGGTTCAATAAAGGTTAACAAATTAAACTTTACTTTCTAATTTGTCGGCCATTCTGATGACGGCCAGAGGAAATGCAGTGAATGAAACGCTGAGGCTTGAGGAACATTATGTGCCAAGGGATGAGATGGATCACTTTACCAAAACGCACACCTGAGGTGTCAGAGCTCTGGTCTTCCTCCACTTCATTCACACACACACACACAAACACACACAAAGAGGTGTGTCCCTGTGGTATGCTTTAGAAAACGTGTTGGGTGTCACTTTCTCACCAGAACCTTGTTTTAGCGTCACACATGCACACGTGCATGATCGTCCACTCACACATGTTTCAATGTAAATCAGTCATCTAAATTTGATCCAAAAGTTTTAATGTCTGCTGACTTTGTGTCTCTCTCATGATCTCCATGAACTTTATCCACAACCTAGTGTGTCGTTGTTGTAACACTTCCCACACTCTTGCAATGTTCTAAAGTCTTAACCTATATAAATTTAACAACATACGTATATGTACTATACAGTACTGCAATATTTTACTCACCAGCTCTGCAGAACAGCAGCTCAGTTCTGGTCGGGCTCAGTTCCAGTTGGGCAGACCTACCCTGCAGCGACAAAGCCCACCGCCCCGTCCAGGCTGATGTGCACGTGAATAATTGAGCTTCAGAATTATTTGCAACTTTCCTGCCAGTTCTGTGAGTTTGCGTTGCAAAACTTTCCCTCCATTTCAGCAGAAAACAGTGGCCGGAAGCACTGTTGGCTTCTGGGTAGTGTATTTCTTTTTGACTGGCGTTACAGTATAGGCTTGTTGAAAGAAAACTACAAAATGGCAGCACCTGTTCCAACTTTTTATCCCATACTGTCCCAATCATGTGAGCAATATTAAAGTTGACAATCGTTGAAAAACCGTGAAGTAACGAGGGACTACTGCAATATCATTAGCTTTTATATCATTAGCCTAAATGGTAACTCTTTATTGGCGTGAATGTGTTTTTCTCATGTAACCCGCCTCATCACTGCTGGATATGAGCACCAGCGACCCCCGTGACCCAGATAGGAAGAAACAGGTAGAGATAATGGATAGATGTTTGTTTCCTGTTGACGGTTTTCTTTACCCTGTAATAGTTATCACACACACCTGTCAGCAGTCTGCAATCATCCCACCTGTTCTCACTTCCTAATCATCCCCTCCAGCAGATTAAGCTCTCTGGTTTTATTCCTTTACTGTCAGATCCTCATACGTGAGCTCTGGTTTGTGTCCTGACTCATGTTTCCAGTCCTGTTTTGTCTTTATTTATACAACAGATTTATGTGGAAATATGCCTGCTTGCCTGTGATCTGTCTGCACCCTTGGGTCCTGCACAGAATCTTTTAGTATGTTGATTTATTTTTTCCCCACACAAACACATGCACTGGTGCATTCTCAGCTGCTTTTGTTGGTTTGTTTTGTAGCAGCACTGACAGACTTTAAGATTAGGGATGCACGATATTGGATTTTTGGTCGATATCCGATATGCCGATATGTTAAAACTTAATTGGCTGATAACTGATACCAATACCGATATTTTGTCCCTAGACCTATTTAGAGACTACATATCTTTCTCTGCGGTGGAATTAAAATACTACATTATTCTGCATGGTCTTTGTCAGTTTGGCCTGCTGCCAAATACAGATAATAAAAAGTGGGCTGAAAATGATGTAACACTTCAACTTGGATTATGTTTAATGTCAAATTTATTCATGACATTTACTCTCTCCAACAATGACAACACTCAAACAGTACAAATTTGTAAATTTACACAAATCTAAACTCAACAGCGCATGTGATGTCATAGTGTTGTGCTGGTGCTGCAGGCATCCTTGTTACTGGTTGTCATACAAAAACGGCGCTTTTTATATCGGCGAGTTATTTTGATGGAATGGCCGATGTCCGAAATTTAA